AAATAGCCCGAGCAATAGATGGCGTACGAGCGCAGGAAGGGCACGATGGTGAGGAATGCTCGTGCAACCGCCGCGACCGATTCCAACAAGCACGCGTCGCTCGTGGTGGCAAGGGCGCCCTGCAGCTGCTGCAGCAGCGCCTCGTTCACGCCGAGGATGATCTCGCACTTGCCAAAGATGACAGGCACGTCATCGCCGAGGAGCGGCTGTAGGGGTCGCATGTAGCGGTCGACCAGCGTCCGGAGGGCGATGCAGTACGCGCGCTCCGTCTCGAGGATCTCGCGGAGCGCGGCGTCCACCTTTGGCGCTGCGTCCTTGGTGAGCGTCTCCAGAGCCGGAGCCGAGCTCGACTGCGGCTCTGGCTGATCGCGCTCGTCCGACGCCGCACTGTGCTCGTCGCCGCGAGAGCTTGTCCGGGGAACCGTCTTCCGAATCTCGGCCACCATTCCCACCACGCGCTGCTGCATCTCACCCGTCGGGAGTGAGGCGTCGGGCAGAGGTGTTGGTGGCGCTGGCTTGGACCGCGGAGTGATGGCCAGCGGCCGCTCGGCGTCGCGAACGCTTCCGTCGCCAGCGGCATCGTCGTCGACAGGGCGACTGCTGGAGCAGCCCATTGCTTGTGGAAGGCGAGCGAGGCGTCTCGCAGCTGGATGGGTCCCTTGCCACGTGTCACCATCGATGGATACGCCGTCCCTGCCACTGCTGCCACCATGCCGCTCTCCCCACTCACCATCATACTCACTAATAATAGAGACCCCAGATTGGCATCCATGCCTCTCTGGACAGGGTGGCCCGCCACAAGGACCCCAGGAATTGCGACTCGCCGCTTTCCTCCCGCTGTGATTCTGAGGTTTTGATTCTGAATGTGAGCTCTGAGAGAGAGATTTTAGAAAACCAACAAGAAATCACGACTCCCACAGTGATTTGGGCTCGGCAGCTTGTCAGCCCTCAGCCGAAGCTGGGGCCGGTCCCGTAGCCGAGAGAGCCCGCGCCGTGAGTTCGACGCGGTCGGGGGGGCCTGCGGAGAGGCCAGCGAGGTGGCGATCGCTGTACTTCATGGTCGTCATCAAGTGACCTTCTTGAGCTCTGTGTCTTGATTTGCCAACAATATACCTAAAACTCCTAAAACTAATAACACCCCACGTGAGCTTGCCGCTCGACGCCGCGGTGAGTAGTTCAGGTAATGTGGCGGTTAGAGAGAGTGAGAGAGAGAGAGTAGCTAGTAATCTTCATTGACTATGAACAGACCCAATAGGGCAAGGAGCACGAACCCTGCAGAAAAGATGCGCGGCTTCGCTTGCCTGCTCCTGGGGATCGAGAGCGGCGCGCTATCGCTCAGTACGAATTCGGCGCCGTCACGGGTGTGTCCGGCGGCGCGTGCTGCGCTCTCGCCTCTTCCTCCAGCCGTGCTCTTACCACGGC